TTGTGCTTAGCACGGCAGAGTTCTGGCCTGGCAATTTTGACAAAACTGTACTTGTTTTTGTGTGGGGGGGGGGGGGTAGACACAACTTTTATTCGGAGCTAGCCCTTTGGCCGAGGCACCATGTGGAATCTGGCTAATGACTTGCATCTTTGACTATTAATACAACAACAGTCAATGCTTGCATCCTCCACGAACAAGAGTTTCAAAAGCATGGTCACTCTAAAAGAAAATTGTGTGTTAACCCCATCACACAAGTGTTAGGTGTTGTTTAGTGTATGTATGTGTGTATGTTCGTGTTTCAGTTTTTCTTGCGGTATAGGCGGTATGAATGGGCACTTTCTTCTTTCGGGTCTCATCAAGTGCGTAGGCATTAACGCCCCGAAGCAATAGGAGTCAAGTTGTGATCAAGTGATGTTTCTTGTTGAATGTGTTGAGTTTGATACTGACTGGGAGCTAGATGGGTTTGGAAATGTTTTGTCGGGGGAGATGCACCTCTGCTTCATCCACAATCTATTTGTGGAGCTTCTACGATGTCGTCGTCGTCGTCTAGTTCATCAATGTCGCCATCTACATCAATGGGCGTAGCAATTTCCATAGTCTCGTGGACACAGTGGCTTACAGCGAGAAGAAAATCCAAAACGGAATATTGGCCCCGAACGATCTGATCTGTTGCCCTAGCAACGTTGATATCTTGTGCCAAATACGTACCTACATATATGTACGTATTCTCGTTGGGACGTGGCCTCCATTGTCCCCCTCAAATAGTCTTGTCTGTAAGAGTGCTCAACTCGTTTTAGGTGTTCTGTAAAAACATTTATACTTTGTTCAAATCGCATTTTGCAAAAATAATATTTATCCATTTGTAAATTTACAATACTGAGTTATTGAGATACGTGTATCATAATCTAATTGGAAGATGAAAAATTTTCACTTTAAATATGCAGTTTTTGTTAATGCAGCAGAGTAAGAACCAAAACACGTTTCATGTTAGCACACTGACAGGTTTTAGCTGGTTCTGTTGGACCTTTTGTATGAGTTAGAAAATACATCATATAGAATAGTCAAAAACCTTTTGTGTTGCATTTTTGTTAACAAATAGTAATGTGTATTTGTTATTACTTATTTCAAAATCGACTAACCCAGTAATTTTGTTTTATCGTAGCATTTATTGTATTTTTTAATACTGAAATTGTAAAATGTTGGTAGTAATCGGTAGATAAATCTATTAATATCTTTTTACCAATAAAAACCCAAACATTTAGATGGGCATGGCACATTTTTCTGAACAACAGATAATACGCCTCTTGATCGTTGTTGGTTTGCCGGATATGTCTGAACACAGACAAGTATGCAGCCCCAACACCTGTAAAATTAATGAAATTGGCAGCAATTCTCCACAATTATATCTAATTAAACACTATATCGAACAACGAAACTTGTATCTTACTTTTGCCTGTCATTTTATTCATGATTTTCTGAATAATGGAAATTGACGTAGTCCATCGTTGGTGCGTAAGAATATGGCGTTAAGCACAATAAAATTGTCGGTGTGTTTGATGATCTTATTATTTATCTACTTACTTTTTTTAATATTAAATAAACCCAAAGCATATCTTAAAACACAAGACATAATAATAAAAATAAACGAACAATATACGGATTCATTTTCTGTTTTCCATTGGTGTTAATGTATTCATTTGTTTGAATTTATATATCTAGATGAAATTATAATATTGTTTTCAAAGGAAAATCTCCATTAAAATATAAATACGTATACAAAATCAAACAAATACACTGTTAAAAAGTATAACCGCGATGCTATTCACCTTCTATCCACGTGCGACGAACGTAATTTAAATACGTTTGCAGCTCTTCAGTCAGACCGTTTCGTTCCACGAAATCTCTTACTTCATTGGAACCCCTCTCTATTTCATCTTGTGGCAGGAGAGGTAGTAACGCCATAGTTATGTGCACTGCCTTCTTAGCAGCTGGAATTCGATTGAAAAGGTTCGTAAGGCCTAGTTTTCTGGTCTTTCTTCTCATTGCCTGTTTAAGTAGAATAGTTGTTATTACTAAATGTTGTTGGTAACAACACGAAACAAATAAATAGCCTCGCCGCAGTAAATTTAAGGTCAATCCTCAGAATAAGACGGAAAATTGCGAGAGAGAGAGAGAGAGAGAGAGAGAGAGAGAGAGAGAGAGATAGAGAGAGAGAGAGAGAGAGAGAGAGAGAGAGACCCATACACACATGAAATTTTTATGTTTTCCGGTCGGTATAAAGATAATTTTGTTTTGGGCTTTGTTTGTATTTGGCTTTGTTACTTACATTTGCCGAGTGGTACCAGCAGCCGACTACAGCTGCTTTGGGGTACGCTTGTGTCACAGAGTCTAGCAGACTTCTTTCAGAATCTGTAATCACCACCCTTGGCCTGATAAGTGGCCAATTCTGTTTCATGTAATTGAAGACACTGCGGTATGATGCATTACTTTTCAGTTCCATCAAAACGTATAGTATAGGATAAGCCTGAAAAAGTGGTTATAACTTAAAAATACAATTTAAAAGTGCATATAAATTATTGATATGGAATTGGTTCTAAAACCAATTCATTAGTTTGCATACTATTTGGTGGAACCATCGATAACAGTAACTATAACATACTTTCTGTTTTCAATAATGATCCCATTATTTGTTTTAAAATAGGCTCTTACCTTAAATAAACTAATATTATAACATGAAATAGTTCAATTTATTTAAACTATATTATTAATACGCATCTTCAAAGGATCGTCTTACGTGTATAATTTTACGCATTGTTCGGAATACATGTACAAAACTAAATTATGAATAATTTAACATAAGTAGGTAATGTTCTACCAACCTTATTTAAATTAACTGGCATCACTGCCATTAGTTGTCTTGAAGGGGGAACGGTTGGCCTGATCTTGAATGTACCATCTAAGTGCAACTCAGTAATCGTCGTGGTCTGCTCGAGGAACAGGCTTGAGCCAAAGAGTAATGACGTAGCCCTCTCTTCATCAACAACGGAGCCCAAGTAAAAATCATCGCCTTCCATAGATTTGGAATAAAGAGAATTGTTGGGATTTGCTAGAAAATCTGCCAACATAGCCAAACTCTCGGGAATTCCTTCCATTCTACTCCGCCTCGCTCTGTGCATTGATGATTTGAGGTCTGAGAACCCGATCCTAGACGAAATATGTAATGAAAATCTGAAAAATAAGGTAATTTAAAATAAAATAATTAACTTAACTAAACAGGAATTAGTGCCTATAGGGGGTTCAAGTAGACTTCCTATTGTTAGTAACTAATAGAGAAGATGGGAAAAATCATTATTGTATGTGAAAATAGAATTGACACATTACCTTGGGGACATAAAGATATAACAGAATAAAAATTATATAAATAAATGGTAATAATAATAATAATAATAATAATAATAGTAATAGTAGTAATAATAATAAATGGTAATATCAATAACAGAAACTAACATAATTTCTGTTTTCAATAATGATCCCATTATTAAATATGGGCAATACTCTTACCAATAAAAATAGGCTCTTACCTTGAATAAACTAATATTATAACATGAAATAGTCCAATTCATTTAATCTATATTATTAATATGCTACTTCAAAGAATCGTCTTACGTGTATAATTTTACGTGTTGTTCGGAATACATGTATAAAATTGAATTATGAATAATTTAACACAAGTAGGTAATGTTCTACCAACCTTATTTAAATTAACTGGCATCACTGTCATTAGTTGTCTTGAAGGGGGAACGGTTGGTCTGATCTTGAATGTACCATCTAAGTGCAACTCAGTAATCGTCGTGGTCTGTTCGAAGAACAGGCTTGAGCTAAAGAGTAATGACGTAGCCCTCTCTTCATCAACAACGGAGCCCAAGTAAAAATTTTACGTGTAAAAATTAATTAGCCTTCATAGATTTGGAATAAAGAGAATTGTTGGGATTTGCTAGAAAATCTGCCAACATAGCCAAACTCTCGGGAATTCCTTCCATTCTACTCCGTCTCGCTCTGTACATTGATGATTTGAGGTCTGAAAACCCGATCTTAGACGAAATATGTAATGGGAATCTGAAAAATAATGTAATTTAAAATAAAATAATTAACTTATCAAAACAGGAATTAGTGCCTATAGGGAGTTCATTTTTCTAAAGCAGCATGAGGTTTATTAATAAAGAGGTTGTTAATAAAGAGGCATTATTAGAGGGTTCAATTTTCCCAGATCAAGAGGTTTACAGTTAAGTTGATTATTTACATATAAAGCTACACCACCCCAGGGACGGGAGCGACAGAAATAGGCTACCAGGTTTAAGGATTTCCTGCCTAAGGATTTCTTTTAAAAATACCCAAACTGAATACTTGGAATGATCCAAATCGTCAGTAATAACAGCAAAAGAAAGTACACTGTCCTTGTGAAACACACAACTTGTAAACACCCAAGTAGCAACACAATATTGTTAAAATGTTGAAATAATGTTGCTTAACATTGTCAACAATATTGTTCTGAGAATATTGTTTTAATGTTGAAGCAAGATTTTCCCAACATTGATCAACGTTTTATGAAAATATTGTTTGATAATATTGATTAATGTTGAAAAAACATTATTTCAACATTAACACATTATTTTCCCAACATTGATCAACATTTATTGAAAACATTGTTGTCAATATTGAATAATGTTGAAATAATTTTTATTTCAACATTGAAACAACATTAATAAGATTGAAAACTGTTTATGGACTCAGCTCATCCTGAAAATCAAAATAAATAGAAACTAGGCTTTTATTAAGTAATAAAGGGAATAAGGTTGATGCTAAAAACAAAATACTAAAATAAAAATTCTACCCAAACGGGTAGAAACAAAAATATCTTCAATTTAAATTAGAACTATTTTCTTGTGCGCGCCATTAAAACGCGCGCGGATGGATCTATCTATTAGCTAGCATCTAGCATGGTAGCAATGGTAGCATCCATCTTCTTCATCTCATCATCTCAACTTCCATAATCGGCACTCGGTAGCTCCAGCCACAGCCAGAGCATCTTTCATTTCAATCAATCATCTCTAGTCCTAGTCTCAATCTCGTAATTTTTATTTCACTTTCTTCACACCATGTTGCAATGATTGTATTTTTCCCTTTGCTTTGAGATTCTGATGTATAATAATACAATTATTTACGGCTGAATACAGTTTTTTAATGGTGGTCAACTTGAGATACCAGCTTTAAGGTAAGTGCATCTTGTTATCAAGTTAAGTTTTGCATTCATAGTTACATATCAAAGTAGGCTAGGCTTGCACTCTAGTCGTAACTTAATAGAGCCAAGCCTAATTTATTAAAATCTTTTAACCTACAAATGCAGTACCAACTGCTAAGATTGATTGTTAACACACAAATAAAATATGTAAGTGTGATAGTATGCAAGGCTATGTAGGCTAAATAAGTTAGGCCTATATAAGGCTAATATTTTTATAAGCAAACAAAAAAAAACTCATTTGAATGCTGAAAGAAAAAGTAAAACCAAGCCTAATCATTGAGATCATTGTGAATGCTGCCCAGAAAATTGAAGTTATAAGTTAATCATCTCCAAGGCTTGAATCATCTCACATCTTTTTTACCTAACCTTAATTTAGACGAAAATGCGTTTTCCTGTTTTGCTATTGCAGTTTAACCTTTGACATAGCCTAGGATATCAATATTATTTTACCTAAACTTAAGTTACATACCAAAGCCAATTTACAACTTCAAAGTAGGCTACAATTTAATTATCCTATGAATTGGTCAATAATTCGTAAATTTAAAGTATGCCTAGGCCTAACTTACATTAAGTTACCGTTGGCCTTTTTATAAGCGGAACAACTTAATAAGTTATTTAATCCCAAGAATAATTTTAATGCTAGGGCCTGCATTGATCGATTTTACTACACTAATTTCGCTAATTTCGACCTCTAAAGTTAAGTAGCTTAACCTACCATTACAACTACTTACAGTAGCCTTAACAGTAAAAAGTTAAGCCATTACAACTACTTACAGTAGCCTTAACAGTAAAAAGTTAAGCTTATACTAAAATTATTTTAAAACTGAAAGATCAGTTGTTAACATTACCGTATCACTTTAGTTGGGTATCTGTGTTATTTTAGTTCATAGGTACCTAACTAACTTAGCCTTAACTTATTTAATTCGTTGGTAGCAGGCCTACAGTAACTTGTTCTGTACCGGTCAAGGTTGCTGTACTTTAACTTATAGGCTATTCTTATGTTTGTTATGACTTAACACTGCTTATGATTAAGTTATGGCAGTAATTTGAACTTAACTCGAACAGTAACCAACCTGTACATTTTTGCTTGTCTCTTGCATACAAAAAGCACTTACATAAACACACATTCTTCACAGGCTTGAGGCAGAATAACAATACCGGTATGTTATTTAAAACCTAAAATAACTTTTATGCTAGGGCCTAAATTGATTTTACGATAGGCTCTACCTTAACCCTCCGAGTGTTATGTGTCGTAAAAGCGACTCATAACACACCCGCTGTGGTGTTATGTGTCGCTTTTGCGACTCACAAACACTGTTTACGGCGACGGCTCTGGGACTGTCTGAATCGGATTGAACTGGATCGAGTTAGGTATTTATTTTTTTCAGCAGATTCAGAGCTTTCTCCTGATGTCTGTTTCTTCATTTTAGTTTCGAAAATATTGTAGCAGACAGCTGACGTGCGTATTTGTAAACAGCTTGGTTAACCTCGCACCGATGACTGATGTGTTTTATTACGTTTAGGGTATCATTGTTTTAGTGTTAAAATCAAAAGTAGTGATATACGTGGCGCATTATAAGAAGATTTAAGTGATTTTGAAGGGCTGGTTGATGATCCTGAAGAAGTAGGTAGTGATATTGATGTAAATTATCAGCCAGATTCCTAGCTATGGTATGGCTATGCATTCTTAGCTAAACGCTATGTACTGAAATCGGTTTTTTGACCATAACTTAACTTATTTATTTGCAAATCTACTTCCTTATATTATTATATTTTTGGAATCCTCATAAAATTCTGAACAAAGTGGCTATTTTAAAATATTTGTAGACCGATAAATTATAACAACTTATTGAGCGCAAACATAATTTTTTTTCATTTAAGTTTAGCCTATTTCATAATTTTTGAGAAATGTTAACCCCACAAAAATTGTTGAAAATTTGTTTTGTAATGTTTTATATGTTAGGGCCTACCTTGAAGCCCATAATTTTCTAAACAAAATGATATATAAAACAGTAGGTATACTTTACATTGTTTTTAAGTTTCTAAGATACATTTTAATAAAACCCTGCGATTGCGCAATAAATGGGCGAACATTAAGACCAAAAGTAGAGACACTTGGAGGGTTAAGTTACTAAGTTAATTTCAACCACTAACTTACCATTACAACTACAGTAGCCTAATATCAGTTATAAGTTAGACTAAAAAGATATTTTAAACTAAAATATCAGTCGTTAACATCATCACTTTACATTAGTGTAGTTGGGTTGTGTTATTTTAGTTCATAGGTACCATTAAATTACTCTTTAATATTATAATAGCCTACCGCATTGTTTATGTTGAGTTTTTGTTTTCGTTAACCAAAACTAAGATCGTAAAATCATCAATAATAATGAATGTTCTCTCTAACAGGACCCCTAACTAACTTACATTAATTTGTTGGTAGGCCTAACTTGTTCTGTTCCAATCAAGGTTTGCTGTACTTTATATAGGCTATTCTTATTTGTTTGTTTTAACTTAGTCACACTGCTTATGAATATGGCACAGTAATTAAAGCCTAATTCAAACAGTAATCAACCTGTACATTTTTGCAGGTGTCTTAAGTTACATAAATACAAAAATCCCTTAACTTAAACACTCTCATTCTTCACAGGCACGCAGGCACGTATAAAACCATGGGGCACGAGGTCAAAATAAAATCAGTAGACTCTACACAAAACTGACCAAGTTTCTAACATCCTTTGAAGCTACAGGTAATTGACCTTTTCAATTATTTCCTCTGTCAGCTCAGCATGTTAGCCTAGATAGTTTTAAGAATGTGATGTATGCATGGTTGATTGTATTGTAAGGCCCTTTTACAGACTTAAAGATTTTTCAAAGCGGACTTTAGCTCTATTAATCTTGCATGATGTTTTTCTAAAATATAGCTATCAGTACTCTTATTTGGTTTTTAGTACAATGAACTTATTAACTTATTTTGCTTTAATGTATCATATTTTACTGTTGTATGACTGACTTGTGCTTTTCAAGCTTTCATGACAGTATCAATTCATGTAATTGTCTAAATATTAATAATGCTTTATATCATATTGTATGGCTAGGCCTATCGTTTGACTAGATTAATCAAATCACAAAACATGTATTTATAATCATAGGGAGTGTTGTGTCTGATGAAGCTACGTTGTAGGTAATCTCAGCCAAGATCGATTAGTAAAGTAGGCTAACCAGATGGTAAAAACTAGGTAGGCTATCAAGGTGAGCACTTTTTTGTCTAAAAACTAATAATCATATCATAATCTAACCTAACTAACCAAACATGCTGTTAATGAAAAAATCAAATGAAGGTTTACTATCAAAAAAATTGTTCTGTTCATAAAATTATAACTTAAATGCCTCAAATTCTAAAAAAAGATGTACAGTTAAGAAGTAATCACATTCTAAGCAAAATCTTTGACAAAATGTTAGTGTCACCGGTGGGATTCGATCTGATAAGTATTTGATTATGAGTCGAACACTATCCACTGCACCTCGAACACCGATGGCAGCACTCCGTACCGTCGCGGTACGGTAACAGTGTTCATTATATGTATTCATTCAAATTGAATCGAGCCTATTTGGTCCGAAATAATATAAATATACTTAGTATTTCGTTATTGAACCGATAGTACATGGCGTTTTTGTACGAAAATTTGCTCACCCTCTTAAAAAGATTAAACAAATTTGATCATTTCACTAAAAAAAAAAAAAAAAATTAAGTTAGATTCTGACACCTAATGTTTGAAGTACGGTAGCCAAGAAATATATTGACTACCGGTTTGAAAAATATATTGGTAGGCCTATATACGGTTTGATATAATGGCAATAAATAGATTTTGGTTTTGTTGTATGTTTAGGAAATCGTTCCTCGAATGACTAAATTTACAACAGCCTACCGCATTGTTTATGTTGAGTTTTTGTTTTCATTAACTAAAAATAAGGCAATAAATAGCAATATTAAAATATTTCTAGATAATTTGAAGCTTGTATAAGAGTAAATAAATAAGCCTTTATACTCTCTTCTGACTCTATCTCTGCCTAACTAAATTTTTAAATACATGCCTTTCATACATAATATAGGTTAATATAGGTCTTGTATTATATTTGGCTATTAATACAAGTAGGCCCTATTCAACAATTTAGTCAATGGTAATATGCAAAATTTTTTTGACAGTGGAGAAAATAGTGGAAAAGGGAGTATTTAAATTACAGACCTTGCAAACCATTAACAATCTCCAAGGCTACGTTTAACCTTAAAATAGTTATTAAAGTGGGCCATGAGGCACAATTTTTATTTCAGCTGCGGTTTTCAATACGGACGAAATGAGAACATTCTATTGGCTGTCATGGTCTGACGTCACTCTCTTCTCTTGAGAGAACACCATTAGCGCAACGATACGAAGTTCAACTATCGATGTTGTGTAGTGGATAGAGTACTCAAACGATGTCTAGGAGTTATCCAGTTTGAATCCCTCCGGTGACACTAACTTTTTGTTAAAGATTTTGCTTAGAATGTGATTACTTCATTTTTTGTTAGAAATTGAGGCATTTATAATTTTATTTTATGAACAGAACAATTTTTTCGAATAGGTAGTTAACCTTCATTAGATTTTTAGCGAATTTCCCCATATAGGGAATAAGCTATTACCGTAGGTCTCATGGTAAGACCTGGACTCGGGACCGATTTACTTTTTCATTTTGATGTCCCCAGAGGCCAAAAACACCATCCGTTCAAATTCATATATATTTATATATATATATATGTGTGTGTGTCCGTCAGCACGATAACTCGAACAAAATTATCCGATTTTGATGAAATTTGGTATAAACGTGTAAACCTACATTTATTTGAACGAGTTTGCGAACCAGCATGATCGGACCATGGGAACAGGGGTTTATGGGGGGTTTTATGGGGTAAAAATGGGTTCTTCCCATTTTTGACCCTAAAAACATAAAATTTTGGAATTTTTTTCGCAACCATTTTGTAGAGCTTAAAAAAGTAAATAATTTAGTATATTGAAGCATTGTTGTATGCCTAATGGTTACGGAGAAAATTCAAAAAAGTGCAAATTTAAAATTCCCATGTTATTCTTATGGAGAAAATGAAACTGTTGTGGTTTACTTGTTTATGGATATATATTGATAAAATTTGGCAAATTTATTTATTTCATCCTATACTATTGACTTATGGTCGAAAAACACTTTTTACCTTCCCTGTAGCAGCAAACCTAAGCACTCGTTAAATCTAATGTTATTTAAATTGAGAATAAATATGTCTTATATATGGAAATATTTTAGTAACAATGTAATCAGACAAGTTGAAATTCGCTTAGTCTGCAGGTTTGCTGCGGCGGGGGTATTATCTTATATCTCTTTTTATATTATTAGCAAGTTTGGTTAGTTATGTTAGTTTATGACGGTTAGGTTTTATATTTTTTTAAATTTTTTTACTCTCATTTCGTCCACAATGAAACCGCAGTATTAGCTGAAATAAAAATTGTGCGGCCGTGAGAGCATGGAACATAGATCAAACATGCCTGATGTACTTCATAAGCTCTATCCAACCTCAGAAAACGTACTACTATAACCCAGAATGCCAACCGCATGGTAAAAAGCATTAAGTGTTTTGAGAGAGCTTTGCCTGTCAATCCGTAGGCAGCGCCACCAGCGTTGCTATGCTATTGCATGGCAACACTGGTGGCGCTGCCTACGGATTGACAGGCAAAGCTCTCTCAAACCGCTTAATGCTTTATACCATGCGGTTGGCATTTTGGGTTATAGTAGTACGTTTTCTGTGATCCAACCCTCAACAACATGAAATAGCAGCTGTTCTTGTTCTATACTTTCAGATACTCCCAATTCCCATGCAAAAAAATAAACTTGACACAAAGACTTTTTTTTAGGAAAGGGAAGGATGCCGCTACAGTCGAAGAGAATCGGGCCTATGGAGATGTCAGCGAAGATATAAACACTTTTCAACAATCACTAGGCCTTTACATTGAGCCTACAGTTATTAATTTTTAAATCTTTTAAGTGATTTACTTTAGTTTACAGATTTGATATATTATAAGAATATTTTGTTCACTTGGTTTTTTGGTCTCTTTTGTGATTTGACCTTCTATAAAAAATGTATATTTTGGGCTTTGTGAAAGAATAAACAATATATTTTTAAATTGTGACGTTATTTTTTACCTTTTTCTTGAAATAAATATACATAACTTATGTCAACAATATTCCACAGAAATACTTTTTGCAGATTTTATGAAATAGCATAGCCTACTGTTATTCAGGAATAAAATAATATATTAATAATAGTTTTGTCAGTCAATAGAGTATTACCTAAAATGAGTTTTTATTGTTTTGACATTTTTGTTATGCATTTATGCAGGCCGAAGTATTTTGAATACTTAGATTGTTTAACAATTATTTTGTGAATTTTTTAAAATATTAGCTTAATGTTGACAGGATAATACAGCCGATACAAAAATACTTTAACAATGTTGTAAAAACAATAATCAAAATACTGTTAATGTTAACAAAATATTGTTAATTGATTATTTCTACATTTTTTTCAAAATTGTCTTAATATTTCCATATAACATTGAAACAACGTTGAAAAATATTAAGACAACATTGTCAAGACAATGTATTTTGTTTCACGAAAACGTTGTAACAATATTGTTACCACATTGATCAATATTTGGGCAATATTGAATGAATGTTGTTTAAATGTTGAAAACAACATTGAAACAACATTGAAAAATATTAAGACAACATTGTCAAGACAATGTATTTTGTTTCACGAAAACGTTGTAACAATATTGTTACCACATTGATCAATATTTGGGCAATATTGAATGAATGTTGTTTAAATGTTGAAAACAACATTGAAACAACGTTGAAAAATATTAAGACAACATTGTCAAGACAATGTATTTTGTTTCACGAAAACGTTGTAACAATATTGTTACCACGTTGATCAATATTGGGGCAATATTAAATTAATGTTGATTAAATGTTGACAACAACATTGAAACAACATTGTTATGCTACTTGGGCACTGTTACTTGAGAATGACTCCAGTGAGCACTTTGAATTTCCTCTTGCTCAACTAGGGAGTATTTGTCTGCAAAATCCATTTGCTTTACAACTTTATCAGGATTACACTTAAGCTCTTCATTAACCTCATCAAAATATTGTGACTGTTTTCTTTTGAGGGGAGTCGGATTACCCTATCTCTTACATGCAAATTTATGTAACTTTCGGTACACATAACTTTGAAACCATTAAAGATAGCAAGATGCAGTTTTTTTCTCTGTAATCAGGACATCTTTTTCTAATAATAGAGCACAGCAAATTAAATAAAAATTGTTTTTAACAAAATTATAAATTTTTATTTTAACGCTAAAAAAAAATGAAAAAAAAATATTTTCTGCAATTTTTTTAAAGTACAAAAAATTGGTTCTGACAAATATGCTGTGCTGTAAATGTAGATAACTTTATAACAAACAAAACAAAAAAAAATTTATTAAAATATCTTAACTGGTTTAAAAGTTATGTGTACCTAAAGTAATAAAAACATGATTTACGGAAAAAGGCGTTTAATCGACTTGAGAAAACTAGACATACCTTTAGTGCATTCCTGGACCATATGATGGATTGTCAGGATCCTCCTGTGCCTCATATGTGTCTTCCAGTCTTCTCTTTGCAGCTGTCAATTTCTGTCGGCACTTTTTTTCCACTTCACTAATCGCCTTCTCCGCTCTTTTGATACGGTTCTCATCGAGATCGCGCATGGCTTCGACACACTTTCCTCCTGGAGTAATACCTAACTTATGTAGCAGTTCACATTTCACTATATTGCCTTTGTTGAAACAGGCTATTGCTTCATGAACTCCTAGTTGTAATGTTTCTTTCATGACAAATGTTGTCTTAGGGATTCTAGACCATATAACATTATTTAGGGACTCGCTCGGGTTCTGCGTCTTCCCGTGTAAACATTTTTCCAGCAAAGTCCTATCAGTCAAGTTTTTGAAAATTGGTCTAATTTGTTCCATTACAATGGGTTCAACATGGTTGTGCTGCCTGTGATCATACTCTTCCCCATTTATCTTAGCCTTCTGATATTTACACCACGAGTCGGCAGTTCGCGGGCAAAGGCCATGAGCAGGACGCTCGTTGGTAGAAACCATATGAAAATATTCTGCCCAAATGGCGGTTCTCATTGCTTCAAGACTTGTTATGTTCCTGCGGATTGCAAGTCCATAATACAGCTGCATATCATTTATGACTGATTGTGTTAGGCGCCCTTTACCTCCAATAGTTTTCCCGTCCGCTAGCTTGGTTTTTCCCCATTTCTTTTTCAGAGTTCTCAATCGGGATCCCATTCTTTTCTGTACATGGCCAACGCACTCTCTTTTTATAATTTCAAACTCAGGCCCATATGGTTGTTCTTTTACAACATTAGGAAATGCAGAACTATCACCATCACCCAAAAAATACTTATACCGGATTCCATACTTACGTTCGGATTCTCTGAACATCTCTAGAATACCTTGACTTTCCATGCCCCCACTTGTACCTTGATAATTAGCCGTGCATCCAGTCTCATGTTGTTGTTCTAATCTTCCTCGGCATCTGCAATATTTGCTCATTATTTTCACATCAATAACTTTACCGGTTTCTCCGCTGATAGCACTCACAACACCATTCAACGATGAGTGTCCTCGTTTCTGCCATGTCCCGTCAAAGATTGCCGTGATGTCACGATCGCTGTCATTTTCTTCTAAACCTACTACTTCCTCAGCAGCTTCTCTCATCGATGCATCACATACCTCTTTAGCAGCATTTCCCAAAACTTTAGTGTAATATTTGAAGGCAGGAGGCCTAGGTAAATTCATAATACCACACACTACTTTAGCGGCATAGTCAGCTTTGCCAATACTGCGGAATGCATAGGCTAACCTAATGTTCACCTCAGTCTTACCTTTACATTCCTGCAGTTTGTTACTATTGTATTCACTCACTTCATAGGCACAAGAATTACACTTGATATGAATATTTACACTGAGTCCTTGACGATTTGAAGTACAAACTGAAACCGAGCCTCCGCATCGATTACACACCGCTATCTTACTCAACAACAGTTCTATTTTACCAAGGTTTACAATATCATTACAGCCTCCTTCAAAGCTACAACTCCCTTTATACTGTTTGTAATTATTTATCTGAGGACCAATCTTCCTCTTGGAGGAGCTCTCTTTTTGCAACACAACATTTTGTGGATTTTGAGGAGTTGCATCAGAACTAGGCCTAGGATCCAGGCCTAACCCAAGAAGCAAGTTTTCAGAAACTACATTAGGCCTACTATTTACTTTACCACCAGGATTTCTTCTGCCAGTGAACACTTTAGCTCTAGTTTTAAAAGTAGGTTTTAATCTAGGCATTTTGAAAGAAAATACTTCAAAAACAAAAGTTATTCACTCACTAAACAAACTGTAAAAGTTTTACACCAACACAAAACAATCACAGATGATCGTAGCAGCAGACACTAGACAGACACCACTAGACAGAGAGCTTTACTACCAACCCAACAGAATGTAATATCACCTGCATGAGTTAGAATTCCGAAAGTATATGTATGAGAATGGTTTTTACTCGTTGAGGGCCGGAAAATGTGAGTGCATATCTTTACATATTTGCTTGTAACTATGGTAATAATAGTCGGAATTAAGTAAATTACATATCAAAATGCGCAGAAAACTACAAGGAATTTAATTAGATTAAAAAAAAAAATTTCATAATTTTGACCCGAAAAGTCATCCGACCCCCCTAGTGTGAGTCTTGAAGTATTTCAGTTGCGAGTTATAATTAACAGCTTCATTCAAAGTAGTACATTTTTCTCATCATCCCACTGTTTTCATTTGACTTCCTTGTTTGGATCACCATCCCATTCTAAGTGCTTCCTTATTGCCATAGGGTCAATAACCAGTGAACAAAGATAAGGTCTTTTACTTTTCTCAGTGTAATCTTTCAGTGCCCTAAGAACCTCAGAGGAAAATCCAGGGTCACCATTAATGCTGCTGTACCAGCCCCCTAAGGTTCTTGGATGTGGTAGAGCAGTATCGAATACCTTTCTTACGTAGGTATACCTTTGGTGATAAGAAATGCAAATGCTCTCATTCTGTCATCATACCCCTTTTTCAAAGATGGATTTTTAATTTTATTTAAGGATCGTTTTATTTAACACCTTAATGTTTTCGACAATGAACTTAGTAAATTGCATGACATTTATTTATTTACATTTAACATACTACATTTATTTTACTACGTAGATCTTTAATTATATTTTCTAGGTTTGCTACTTTTTTCGACATGCGTCTTTGTTTCTGGTTCAAATTATTCACTTTCTTTTTATATACATCTACATTGGTTTTTACCTTGTTCAGTTCTTGCCGTAACTTCTTCTTCCTCGGCGATTCTTCAAAAGGCTGAGTTTGCAGATTAAGTGCATATTCTTTTTGGTGGTTTCCTCTTGACCTTTTCTTGTGTAGGATTGTCGGGGAACAAAGATGGTATTCCATTTTCTCTTATCCGAATGCAAGCGAGAGATGTTCTGTCAAAATCTTCTTCACGGAAGTTTTTTGAACACAACACACTACTGGCCTTGGGCTCCTAGTATGATTTTACAATGGAGTCCACTCATTTCTGACGAAGATCAATATTATTTGGGAATCTGTAAAACTTATATATTTTGTATTGTACCCCCTTGGATACATCGTATATGGTGGTTGACACAGTACATTTGCGGTAAACACAGTACATTGTCCATATGTTGATCTCAAGGGAAATATGTAAACATGTAATATTTTATTCTTAACAACTCTTTAGCGCATATTTAAGAACAAGTAATTTTCATGAAAATGCATGACAAACCTTTAAAATGAGACCCCTGCCAGCTCTCTACAAGCTCCCGTTTTATCGCAATTTCTTTTCTAAAATTAGGGATTACGAAATTATATAAATTTATTAAACTACATAATTATGTCCATATTATATCATTCACACCGATAACGAAAGTAACAATGATTGGGAACAGAATCATAAGCTAATTCCAAAGTTAACTCAAAACATATAAATTGTAAATGCCTTATTATTCACACTGATTGTAGCA